CCCACTCCACGCCCGGCTCTCTATCTTCTCTATATACTCTCTATCTACCTAACTGCCCCTGGAGACCTTCTTCTCTGGACCTATAGAGACCTGGAGACCTTCTTCTCTGGACCTATAGAGACCAAGTCCCCTTCCTTTGTTCTCCTTTCCATCCCTGGGGGTGTTAATCCACTCAGTTTTAGCACTATAGTTTGGATTTGAACTATCCTGACAAGTGAGTAAAAACTCACCTAGCTGTCCCAAGACCATGCAATCCTCTATCAGGAAAGCAGGGTACTCAGTATCCCAGCACAAGTACCTTGCCATCTGCCTGCTACTGTGCACATCACATATTGCACTTCAAGCCTCCAAAGGATATTGACATAGCCTTTATATACATTGAATTTGCAGGTGATACAAAGCTGGAAGGGATAGTTAACACATTTGATTATGGAATCAGGATTCAAAAAAAAAAATCCGGACAAGCTAGAACACTGGGCTATAATGAAATTTGATAGGGATAAATGCAAATTCTTACATTTGCATTCAAAAGAACAAAATAAGAAGACACTGGTTTCAGTAAAAAAAAAAAAAAAAAAAAAAGCTGAGTCAACAAGTTGATATTGTGGCTAAATTGCCAAAGCAGTCTTAGCCTGCATCAAGAGAAGAATAATGCCTGGCACTGCCCATATCACTGGGAGGTGGTATTGCACTCTGACCTGGTCCGACCACAATTGTGTTCAGCTCTCTGAGGCAAGGCAGGGCAGGGCAGATCAACATGAACTTACTAAGTGCTTACTATGTGCCAGGCACTGTGACAAGTCCCGGAAATACAGATACGCGCAAAAGTAAAGACAGTACCTGCCCTCTAAGAGCTTTCATTCTAATAGGGGCTGAAAAGGGTGAGAAGGGAGAAGGTATATAAGAGGGGAGGGAGACCTGGGAGGCTCCTTGAGCCTCCACCTTAAAATGGAGGAGGAACCAATCAATTAGAAGGACAGAAAGTACTTTCAATGGGTGAGAAGCCCAGGGATGGAGTTAGTTTTCTTGGTGCAGAGGCTGCTAGATGGCAGAGTGAATAATGGTTGGAGTAAGGAAGACGAGTTCAAATTGTACCTCTTCTTGTTGAGCCATTTTTCAGTCCTGTCTGACTCTTTGGGCCCGCTTTTGGGGTTTTCTCGGCAGAGATTCTGGAGTGGTTTGCCATTTCCTTCTCCTGCCCATTTTACAGATGAAGAAACTAAGGTAAACAGGGTAGAGTGACTTGCCCCAAGGTCACAAAGTTAGTATCTGAGGCTGGATTTGAACTAAGGAAGAGGAGTCTTCCTGACTCCAGATCCAGCACTCTATCCACTGAGCCACTCCGGGGCAAGTCTCAGTTTCCTCACTTGCAAAATGGGAATATAATAATAACAACACCCACCTAACAGGACTGTAGTGAGGATTAAATGAGATAATGTACACAAAGTGTACTGTAAACTCTAAGGCACTATATAAATGCTAGTTATTATTTTTATTATCATTATTCTCTGTGCCAGTTTTAGGAAGGATATTGATAAGCTAGGGAGGGTCTAGGAGAGGACAATGGTCAATGGTAAAGGTTCTCAAGATCATACTAAATGAGGACTGGCTGAAGAAAGCAGGGATGTTTAGTCTAGAAAAGAAAACATTTGGTAAATGGTTGGGGGGGCCAAGTTAAGGAGAGACATGGTAATTGTGTTTAAGAATTTTGCAGAGCTGTCACTTGGAAGAAGGATTAAACCTAATTTGCTGGACCTCAAAGGGCAGAACCAGAAGCACTGTCCAACAATTTAAGAGAAAATGAGCTATCTCTGAGATTCTCTTTTGCTGGAGGTCTGCATGCAAACTTTGTATAACTAATTATTACATATGTTGTACAATGGATCCTTGTCTAGGTGCACCATCACCAGTCATCTTGACTTTCATCTTGCCACTTGACTCCAATGACTCTGGAGCAGAGAGAAAGGCTGGTGACTTTGTGAAGCTGGTCTCACTCAAATCCAATTCTCATGCAAGTTAAGACTCACCTTCCTGATGTCATTGATCCTCTTTCAGGGCAAAGGATGAACAACAAACAAGGTTCGGGGTAGATGACCTCAATGATGCCTTCCACCTCTGAGATCCTGTGCTCCTTATTCTGACTCTCCCTTCACCAAACTAACATGATGCTTCCTATTATGGATCTCCAGTGCAGATTATTTAAATATATTCTCCTCACGATTGAGTAATGATGGAGAGTTCAGTTATCCAGACATCTATTGGAGCTCTCTCTCTCTCTCTCTCTCTGCCAAGTGCTGAGTAGATAAAGTCTGACAGTTAGATTAAAAACAAAAATCCCAGTCACAAGGACAGAATGGGGCAACATGGTTAGAGAGGAGTTTGTCTGAGAGGGAGCAGAAGGTTTTAGTGACCTACAACCTGCACATAAGTCAGCATTGGGATAGGGCAGTGAAAAAATTAAATGTGATTTTGGGTTATATTAAGAGAAGCATGACTTGCAGGAACAAGGAAGTGGTCCCACTGTACTTAGCTGTCAGTTCATTTCTGGGTGCTACAGTTTAAGAAGGATGTTAATAAGCTAGAAAGGGTCCAGAGGAAGGCAACGAGGTTGGCAAAGAACCTTGAGTCCATGTCACATGAAGACTAACTGAAGTAACTAGGGATGATTAGCGTGGAGAAGTGATAGCTCAGGCGCGATGTGATGACTGTTTTGGCGGGGGGGTCACACGGAAGATGAATTAGATGTGTTTTCCTTCCAGCGAGCAAAACCAAGAGCATTGGGTTACATGATGCAAAGAGGTGAAATTAGGCTGGGTGTCAGGGAAAACTTGGTAGCAATTAGATCTGTCCAAGAGTAGAATGGGCTCCAACAGGAGGGATCCCCTTCATTGTAAGTCTTCAATCTGAGGCTAGATAATTACTAGTCTGGTACTGTCTCTGGTAGTGAGGATTCCTTTTCAGATTGTTGTTCGTCCTTCATTTTCAAAGAGGACCAATGACAGCACAATGGTGATGTCTTGTCTTTCCCCCAAGAACCGGATTTAAGTGAGGCAGAGTTGCACAAAATCCTCAGCCTCACTCTCTCTTCCAGAGTCATCAAAGTCCAGTGGCGAGACAAAAGTCAGGACTGACAATGGCCTGGGATGCAGTGGATGATCCTGGTGTCTTCAATGTCTGACCAAGCTCTAAGCGCTCCACAGAGCCTGCTTCAGCCACTTTCGTGGCCTTTGGAACAAGCTGTTCTCATCCATGCATTCCACCGGGGAGGTCTTCACATGCTTAGGTAGACATACCCCTAACTCACTGAAGGGTTTGATGCCTGTCAGTTACTCTCAATCTGGATTAGCCCATTTGCTCAGATGGTTTTACTGGGGTGTGGCCATGGTGCATGCTACAGTTTCTTGGAGCCACAGGTGAGAGTTGAGTGGCAGGTGGACACCACAAGTGGATGAGCAGCTCTGAAAAGAGCTCAGCAAACCCTCATGCCAAAGGCTACTCCTCTCTGAACACTCCCACACACCCCTTTTCAGATTGAGATGGACCGAATAACTAGAGGCAGCTAGGTGGCCCAGCAAAGTACAGATATGGAATAAGGAAGACCTGAGTTAAAATCTTACCTCAAACACTAGCTGTATGGTCCTAGGCAAGTCACTTAACATCTCTTAAGCCTCAGTTTCCTCATGTGTAAAATGGGAATAACAGAACTTGTCTCACAGGGTTGTTGTGAAGATCGAGTGAGCTAACATTCATAAGGGCACTTTGCAGACCTTAAAGCACTATATAAATGTCAGTTATAATTTTTATTATGTCAAATGAAGCCCTTTCTAACTCTAAAATTCTCTGATTATTTGATGATGCTAATTATATTTTATCCTACAGCAACAATCATTTGTTTATATGCCTTGTTTTTTATTTAACAGAATATAAGTTCCTTTCAGTAATGGACCATGTCTAACTTAAGTCATTGAGTATGTGTGTACATGTGTGTATATGTATGTGTGTATAGATATAGATATGGATATGGATATATCGCAATTGCCTAGCCCAGTTTTTTGTCTGTTATATTCAACAAATATTTGCTAAATAGAACTACATTAGCAACCCCAGTGTTGACCTTAGATGACATTTTATATTACAACTAAATAGTTTAGGATTTTGTATTGAATTTATGAAAATTCTAGGATCCCAATGAAATTATAATGTTACATCTTCTCATTTCCATCATCTACCACTGTTACTTTTATAGTCCTAGTTTTCAGTGTAGTTGGAAATCAACTTTTGAGGATAGTTTAAGGGAAGAATTTGTGTGTGGGACGCCTATACATGACCATGTCATCTCAAAGCTCAGCCTTTTACTTTGCTTACATTTCCAGTGTAAACACAGAGAGTTACACACATTTTCTTTGTCGACCACTCTGCAGATGTTTTGTGAGCAGGTTGCAGATTTTCAACAAAAAATGAATCATAAAAAAAAACATTTAAAGGGCTATCTAGATAAAGATGTGACAAAACAAAAAACTTGCTTGCTTGCAAATCATGAATATAGAGAATATAGACAATAATCTTGAAAAATAACACTTCATGGAGCCAGTGAATGGTGGTGCCACAGACAGTGATTCAGAGATCAGAGTTCAGTATATGCACAAGGAAGTGGTTCTATATTACTCTGCAGGTGAGGACACCCTGTTAAGTGTATTCAGTTACATTGTCACTCATTAACTTGGATTATTTTCTACCAAGAAACGATCAAAGATTGCAAAGTTCAGTTCACTGGGAAATTCAAAGCAGTCTTAACTTATCTCCAAGAGAAAAGAAAGAATTCAGGAAAAGCTACTATGAGAATAAAAGGAATAATATTTCCCCAGAAAGATGGGGGTGGGGAGAAAAGGGCAGGAGATGGGGACTGACAGGGAGACAATGAAGGAAGGAAATGCTATCCTTTTTTAGATATTTTAATGTTAAACACGATACTTTAAAAAAATTACTTCCCCAAAACATACCTATTTTATTGAATGCTTCTTGAAGTTCTTCCAATTCTTCCCGAGAAATGGTAGTTGTATTATTTTCCATCTTTGAACAACAGAAGTTGTTGCTTTCTATGCTTTAGACCTAGAATAAGCAAAGTTGTTAAAAAGAAAATCAGGCCCTTTGGAATCTTTTAAGACACAGGTAAAGGTATGTTCTTCAAAAAAAAAAAAAATACAGGATTACCCTAATAAGCAATACACATAAATTAGTCCTTCAGTGCACTACACTGTCCCAATAAGGTCTATTGAAATAATGACTTCATCTGAAAACTACCTGACCATTTATCAACTCTGACCATTCTCTGACCATTTATCAACTAGGGAATTATTTGGAGTCTTATAAATTTGACTCAGTTCTCTATAAATTTGAGAAATCAAGCTTTTATCAGAGAAACTTGCTGTAAACATTTTCCCTCGATTTTCTGCTTTCCTTCTAATCTTGGCTGCATTGGTTTTGTTTGTGCAAAATCTTTTTAATTTAATGTAATCACAATTATCCATTTTAAATTCCGTAATGCTCTGTATCACTTGTTTGGTCATAAATTCTCCCCTTAACCATAGGATAAACTATTCCATTCTTCCCTAATTTGCTTATGCTATCACCTTTTTTGCCTAAATCATGTGACCTTATCTTGGTATATAAACATGCATTTTTAAGTTTCAATAAATTAAAGCATAGCATTTACAAATGCAACAGACACGGTCAGAAATGAAAATTTAAAATATTTTGACATTTAAATTTAAAATAAGAATTTCCAAACATCAGCAAGTTAAAAGATATGCTAGTTCTGCATGACTGGATTCTATATTATTTTAATTTCCAGATTTTCAAAATATTGCCACATTCCAATGATCTCCAATAGCTTTTAGTTCATTAATGGTCCCCATCATTTTCCCTCAATTGTTTTTGGCTCTGTATTTCCCCTGTCTTTGTTAGAATTTTCTAGTATGAGCTATCTGATTCAATGACAGCAAGCAGGATGATAACAAAGAAGACATGTGTGAGTGGGTAGAAGCAATGCCATGGTAGTTTTAAAATTATAAAGGAATAGTATAACTGCCCAGTCATTACAAGGATTTGCCATCTACTGTGTTTTTCTCTCATAAGTCCATAGATACTTGCATGTTGCCCCCCCATTAGACTGTGAGGATCCTTGAGAATAAGAACTGTTTTAGATTTTCCTCCTAACCCCAGTGACACATAGTGACACATGCTTAATAAATGCTTGATGACTAACTTGCAGTAAATCATACACAGTTGTTCACATGGCCTTTCCCAGTGCTTAACACAGTGTCTGGCACATAGTAGATGCTCAGTAAATGTTTACTGATTGATTGCTTTTATTACACACCTTAGGAAAAAGAGGAAAAATGAAATTAAGTGAAAAGGCTTCTTTACAGGAATCCAGCTCTTGCCCCTAAATCTTTTAAATCCTTTGGTGAAACATATCAATGTTCCGTTTTATTAGTCAATGAAATTTAGAAAGGAACATCTTGTAAAATTTAATAGGTCATTGTTTTTCCTCTCAAATACATCCTGGGACATGTTTCTAATTAATTGCACATTAATGTCTCTTAGTTCTGAAATACTGTATGTAGCCCATTGGTTGTTCTTATTTGCTTAAGTAACACCCTAATTCAAATACAACCTTAGAAATCACCCCAAGTGTTTCAGGTCAACAGAATAGGAAAGAAGGTAGGAAGCAACTGAGGAGTAAGGAGGTAAATGGAGCTTGCTTTATTCCACAGATATACATTATTTTGTTTTAGGGAGAAAAAAATGCCTCTCTCCCTTGGATAGAATCATCATCCCATTTAGTAGGTTTTTCCCATCTTTGAAACCAGTGTAGTGATGTTACTCCTGTGCTATAAACTGTTAGTGCCAACCTCTTGGACTTTCCCTGGGTCTTGAAAGTGCTAATTCTGTTCCTATTGGTTTTGAATTTTTGTGGTTTTGGCCTTCCTGAATATACTTTACTACCTTCAAAATAGTTCTGATTGCTCGGAATTTCTTTACAAGTTTTAAAAATAGTCGTTCAACTTTAGTGTGTGCGTACCACAGAAAGGCTATAAATGAACTGCCCTTCTCTCGTCCTGGCATTTTAAATTAACCTGGGACTTTTATTCTTTGCTCATCTCGCTATGTGCCATATTTAAATGGATGCCATTTGTTATTGCCTAAAATAGCTTCAGCTTGCCCATAATCTTGGAAAAAGCAGACAAGCTGATTAAGTAAGTGATTCACAGAGGAAATGCCATGCTTCTCATTGAGAGACCCTTTTTTATGCTCAGAGTACTTAACATATGGAAAGCATGGCTTAAATTTGAAAAAAAAAACATGCATTTAGGGAATTTGAAAATACACAAACCTTTCTGAGTTCATAGAGGGTATCTTATGAGCTAATGAAAAATTACATCCATGTGAGGTACTTCTTGTCACTATATATGCTCTGAAATGGCTTTAATTTTGGTTAATTTGTTTACGTAGTATCCCAGATTCAAACACAACTTCATAATTAATCTAGAGGATTGAAGTAAAGAGAATGGGTAGCTGGAGTAATTGGATCTCACCTTACTCCGTCGATGTAATTTATTATAATATCAATAATATTTTATAATTGCATTGAGGTGTTATTTAAATAACATAATAAGTATTGAACAACATTATTAATATCACTCAAAAAATGTTTCATAGATACCATGACAGAGAAAAATAGCTAGAAAACCACTGAATAATTTGGAGTATTCTTCACTGACACTGGGGTTGAATTACAGAGTAGACTCTGGCAAATAAGACTGATAATTTTTCTTTAAGACTGATAATTTTTAAAATAACTCACTGTGCCTGTATGGAAAGTACCACATTCTTCTGAGTTTTTATAAAATACAATAACATGAGGGCTGTTGGAAACAGTAGGTTTATAGGGTTGATTACTATGGCTTTGTACATACCTTAAATTTTTTACTAGGTATGTATGTGTGGCAAAACAGCCAAGTGGATGAGCAGTTGTAACTGTGACTTGATATACCCTAAGTTTAAAATGTCTGCTCTACTAATTTGTCCTCAAAGTATTATAGACTGTGATTTGATTGTCATACTTATTTAAAAGAAGAAAAAAAAGGTTCCTCTTGAAGAATATTACACCAACTTCTTGAATTTCATGGAGAGAAAATAAACATATAAAAGTGGCATACCAAGTTTCAGGAAGAAAGACAGAGTGCCATGGATGCTTCACAAAACAGATGCAAACTATGGACTCTGAATTTGACTGGGCTGACGTTCAAAATATCCCCCTGGACCACCAGCAGTGGTGACGATCCAGACAGGACAGGCTTGGATCTGATAGGAAACTGTGCAGAAAAGCACAGCAGGCACTGTTTGAGTGCTGGCATAATTAGTACCTTACCAAAATAAAATGGTTTCTTAAAAATACATGTGTTAACTTACTTTTAGAACAAATCCCTGTTAGAGAAATGAATCAAATATTTATTGAATACCTACAATATGGAAGGCTCCATGCTAGCTAGGCTGTAAGGCAGTTTGGGATGTAGTAGAATTAGTCGTCAGTCAATAAGCATTTATTAAGAGCCTGCTGTATGCCAGACACTGTGCTAAACACTGGAGATACAAAGAAAGATTAAAAACAAACAAACAAACAAACAGTCTTGGCTCTCAAGGAGCAAAAAGTCTAATGGAAGAGACAAACAACTATATACAGTCAAGCTATATACAAGATAAATTGGAGATACTCAGCAGTAGGAAGACACTGGAATTAAGGGGGATTAGGAAAAGCTTTCTGTAGAAGGTGGGGTGTCTGCACTATAAAAACACCTAGCATCTAAGCAGCTATGACCCCCAGAAGAAGAACCTATGAATCAAGTGAAACTTGGGGAGCATCAAGTCAGCCTACTGCAAAGACCTGAAGAGACAACGTAGAAATAGCCGCTGTGCAATGCTTGGGTGGCTAACTGATCATCCCTTCTCAACCATTCTAATAACCTGAGGTCATATCACTTTGGTACAGACCGATTTTTCCTCTAATTTCTGTTGTTTGACTTTGACAACCTGTTCATTTGCCCTCAATAATTTCATTTTAGCACACTTTTTTAATTTTGGTTTAACACTAGGAGGACCAGGCATGCAATTTTTTTTTGTTGTTGCTTTTTGGTGGGGCAATTAGGATTAAGTGACTTGCCCAGCCTCACACAGCAAGTAAGTGTCAAGTGTCTGAGGTCAGCTTTGAACTCAGGTCCTCCTAACTCCAATGCCAGAGCTTTATCCACCGTGCCACTTAGCTGCCACAAATTTTCTTTTTTATAATTTTACTTTGAAACAGAAATTTTCATTTTACTATCTCTATTTTCTATGCCTTATGGATTAAAAAAAAATTCACTGAGTCAATTGATGTGGCCTGGACTTTCGAGATGTTCTTCAGTTGGAAGCACTGAGTTCCAATTTAGCAAATAAGAGAGTGTCCTCTTTTCTCAATAATCATCCTGATCCTCACAACAGGTCTCCCAACATAGCAAAACACATATCTAAAGACTTCATCAGGCCCTTGCTAAAAATGAATCTACCAGTCTAGATAAAATAAGACCTGGTCTTGTTGTCTACACCTCAAATTTCTAGCTTCCTTGAATTCTGTGAAGTGTTACCCAAATTCATCTTTGCAGAGTTTTAGGATAGGCAAGCTATAATCAGCATTCTTTTTTCAAACAGACTTAGGGAGGCATGACTGGGACATGAATCTACATTTGGTATGTGGCTGAAGGGGTCACAAAACCTTTTTTCTCCACGTTAAAGGGGAAAGGAACAAGCATTTATGTAACACTCGCTATGTGCCAGAGCAGCTAGGTGGCACAATGGATGGAGCACGGGCTTGGAACCTGAAAGTCTCATCTTCTTAAGTTCAAATCTGGCCTCAGACACTTACTAGCTGTGGGACCCTGGCCAAGTCATTTAACCCTGTTTGCCTCAGTTTCTCACCTATAAAATGAGCTGGAGAAGGATGTGGAAAACTGCTCCAGTATCGTTGCCTAGAGAACCCAAAATGGCATCACAAAGAGTCAGATATGATTAAA